CTTCCTTTCTGTCATGTAGAGGCGTGTAGGGAATTCAGGATGGCAGCTGATAGATGTGACATGGCTTTGGGAAGTATAGCAATTCTTTGCATTTTTTTTCTTCTAGATCCACATTTTTCAGCTACTAGTATGAGGCCCCAAACCCAATATCCATGAGCTGTAAAATGAGCTTGTATTTACCAATTGCAGCACGAAGGGGCCTCACTCCAAGTGCTTGAGGAGAATGGGCATAGCTTTAAAATGCAGATTGTTAGGTTGGAAGAGACTCAAGTAGATTATTCTCTGTTTTAAAAAAAAAATAATTATTTTACTTTTAGTTTTCAACATTCACTTCCATAAGATTTTGGGTTTTAAATTTTTCCCCCTCCCCCAAGGTGTGCAGTCTGATAAAGGCTCTGCTTATACATTCGTACTAAGCATATTTTCCCATGAGTCATGATATAAAGAACAATTAGAACTAATGGGAGGAATGACAAGAAAGAAGCAATAAAACAAAACAACAAAGGAAAAGGAGAGCAAATAGTACGCTTCCATGTGCATTCAGACTCCATGGTTCTTTCTCTGGATGTAGAGAGCAGTTTCCATCAGGAGTCTTTTGGAGTTGTCTTTGATCCTTGCGTTGCTGTGAAGAGCCAAGTCTATCAGTCAGTGATCGAACAATATTACTGTTCTCCTGTTACAGTGTTCACCTGGTTCTGCTCATTTCAGTCTGCATCAGTTCATGTAAATCTTTCCAGGTTTTTCTGAAATCTGCCTGCTCACCATTTCTTACAGCACAGTAGTATTCCATTACATTCATATACCACAACTTGTTCAGCCGTTCCTCAATTGATGGGCATCTCCTCAATTTCCAGTTCTTTGCCACCACAAAAAAAGCTGCAATAAATATTTTCATACATGTGGGTCCTTTTCCCTTTTTTATGATCTTTAGAACACAGACCTAGAAGTAGTATTGCTGGGTTAAAGGGTATGCACAATTTTAAAGCCCTTTGGGCATAGTTCCAAATTGCTCTCCAGAATGGTTGGATCAAATAGATTATTCTTAAGGGCCAAACCATTCTCCCATCCCCCAGACTCTAAACCTAGATTGTCATCTTTGACTCATCATTCTCTCTGTCACTCTCACTCCCTCTACATCCAAACTGTTGCCAAATCCTCTCAATTCTACCTTTTAATAACCCCCTTTTTCCCTCTGATATAGCCTCCACCCTGATTCAGGCCACCATCACCTCACACTTGGACTATTGCAGTAATCCCCTGCTCAACCCCTCTGCCTCAAGTCTTTCCCTACTCCAGTCCTTCCTCCCCTCAAGACTGACCATGTTATCCTCATATTCAGTCAAATCCAGTGGCTCTCTGTCACCTCCAGTGTCAAATATAAAATGCTCTGGGCTCATGAAGTTCTTCCTAACCTGATCCTTTTCTGCCTTTTCAGTCTTCTAATACCATACTCTCCTCCACTGCAGGGTCCAGGGACAATGGCCTCCGGGCTGTTCCCCAAAAAAGACCTTCCATCTCCCAGCTGTGTACATTTTCACTGGCTGCCCCACCCCCAGGCCTGGAATGTTCTTCCTTTTCATCTCTTTCTCTGCCTTCCCTCAAGACTCAGCTCTAAAATCCCATTTTCTACAAGAAGTCTTTCCTGGTCCTCCTAGGGTTTTTCCTCTAAGGTTACTTCCCAATTTATCCTGTAAATATCTTACTTGGAGCATGGTTGTTTGTAAGTTGTATCCTCATTAGATTGTGAACTCCTTGAAACACAGAACTGATTTTGCCTTTCTTTATTTCCCTGGGGCTTAGCACAGTACCTGGCACATAACAGATACGTAATAAGTGCTTATCAGTTTGCCATGGATGTTAGAGTCTGAAGAGCCTTTGAGCAGCAGACACTTTTAGACACTTTCAGGGAGTCAGATAGTCATGGCCCAGAAAGGGACTGTGACTCGCCCAGAATCACACACCTCTAAATCCTTTGTTCTACAGAGCTGACTTACGACTACACCAGAGAGAGGGTGGTCATCTTCTTTCTTTAGAGTAGCTAGAGATTTTGCAGAACAATGTCGAGTTCTTTTTTAGAAAAGCATTTTATTTATATGTCTACTTTCTGTTGTTTAGAGTCTACTTTTAGAATTTTGCTTTCCTGTTTGTGCTTTTTTCTTTTTCTACTTCCATTTGGCAATTGGTAATTTCCCCTATTCCCAACCTCCTCTTTCTAAAAGATTTGAAAATTTACTTGGCTTTCATTCCATGCTTTATTGGAGTTCCAGTTCCAACAAGAAAAGAAGAAGAACGTTGAAGAAATAGCTCTAAGATCTTGAACTCTGTGGCCTGAGTTGTTACTTCCTAGGTCTATGACCTTTAGAAAGTCATTTAATATCTGTGGGTCTTACTTTCCCCTTTTTGCAAAATGGTGAAGGGAGGGAGTAACCTGAGGTCCATGAACTTGGTTTTTAAAAATACTTAAATAGCTGTATTCCAGTATAATTGGCTTCCTTTTTAATCCTTTCTGTTTTACACATTTAAAAACATTCCGAGAAGGGGTCCGTAGGCTTCACTAGACTACCCAAGGGTCCCACTGACACAAAAAAGGCTAAGGACCCTTGGACTAGATGATTTCCATGGCCCCTTCTGACTTTAAATCATATTTAAAAGAAATATTATTTATGAAGGTGGCCATGTGACTTTCTTGGTTCTTGAATGCATATCCTCTGTTAGCTCCATTTTTCAACTGCTCTGTGAACAGTCATTTCTGTTTACTGAGAAGCCGTAGCAGCAGAGTTGGGATGGGGACAGATTAGACTTTAGAGTCCTCTGTGTCTCAAAAAAAATGAGTGTTTCTCTGTGCCTCCAGAATGAAATACCAGTCCTCTGCCACCTAAAGCCCTTCACAGTCCAGCTCCAGACTACACTTCCAGTCTTGTTACACATTACAGGCCCTCTCTACCCAAACCAAACTGGCCAGTGTGCTGTGCATCATCCCCAGCTCCCTCAGTGCTGGTGCCAGTTCCTACAAGATAAGGCCTTCCAGATCCCCAGCTGCTTAGGGCCTCTCTTCCCCACTGGGAGTCATCGTGCTCTCCTTTGTATGTACCTGACATTTCCTTACATAGGTGCACACTTCCCAGAATGGGATGGAGAGACCTGGAGGGCAGGGGCAGTTTCATTTTGTCCTTGTTTCCCCAGTGCCCAGCACATAGTAGACTGTGCATCTAACTTCATTCTTAGTTGTTCTTCTTTCTCTGAGACGTAGCTGCTTTCGTAGTTGGACGACGCCTTAAACCTCAGTCACTCTAGTTCTCACTGACTGGCCGAGGTACCGACGTCCTCCCGGCTTCTCCTGTGTGGGTCTTGTTTGTACATACTTGTTTGTACAGTTGCCTTCCTTCCTGCAGAGCTGGGGCTCTTCTTACCTTTCCTTGTGTCCCCAGGGGCTTAGCACAGTGCACAGTAAACGCTTCCTGACTCGGCTACCCTGTGTATGTCATGACTAGCCTACTTAACTTTGTGAACTTCTGAAAATCGTGTTTGCAAGAACCATGATTAAAGCAGAAGCTTGGAGAGCTGGGCTTTAAAGAAACACAGAATTCACCCATCTCCCATTTGACTTATTATAGATATTAGCTACCTTTCAAACTGAAGCTCTGACATATGGATAATCTTTACGTGGATAAGAAATGAATAAAACATGCAAGTATCAGTTTCTGGAAAGTTCCTAAATATAAGAATTGTGTCTTATCCAAAATCCCAATCATATTTTCTAAACCAACAGTCAGAACATATGACAAAGATATTCCTGTTGCAAAACCTCATTAACAGTTTACTTTCTTTTTGAAATATTGCTATGGTCCTGGAATATCCAGAGTGGATGTCCCCTGTCCTCCTTTGTACTCCCACCAATAACTGGAGTGTGTTAGATGCTTCCCAAATGATCTGTTGATTGACTGATTGTATATCTTGAGGAACTCAGAACTAGCTGAATTGTAAGCCTAGAGGAACTCAACTCTAACTGTAGGTGCCATAAAATATTACCAAAGTCACTGCTCTGATCATAGTTAACCTGGAAGCTCAAAAAGTTGTGCCCTCATCCCTGGCTATGCCTTATTTCAGTACCTTCTGTTCTCTAGTAAAAGAATTTGGCTTCTGGCCCATGTCTCAAAGCCTCAGGCTCGGTTTCCGACTAGTGAGAGAACGTTAGCTAAATGAAGGCCCACCGGGAGTTACAGGGCTGTGAATGGAGGGAATGAATTCATCTTACCTTTGAACTTCATCTGGGGGACTCAGAAGGGGAATTCCCTCTTGAGCCCTTACAAGCTCACCAGTGATGGATGGAGCTACAGAGGATCCTTGGCTCTTCCCTTTCTGCACTTCCTAGGCCTTCCAGATGCTGGGGAATCCCCATTCTGCCTCTGCACAACCATGGAGGGCAGACCCATAGAGAAGCTCTGTGGGAAATCCTACGTCATTCAGTCGTAGCCAGTTAACATATACCTTACCTAGCTTCTTGAAGGCTTATACTTAAACCACTGGGAGCTCCACGCAATAGGAGGTTGAATTGGTTTCTGAGATAACAAATCCATGAACATGGTCAAATTTGTAGAGGTATTTTAGAATACTAATAGCTCCCAGACTGGTTTATAATTTGCAAAACACTTTTCGCAACAGCCCTTCCAAACTGATTGCGTGAAACATCCTCCCATTCTGTAAGATAACGAAAGTGCACCTCTAAGAGATTACTTGCTTGTATTACATGGCCAGTGGGGCTCTGGCTGAAACCCAAATCTACTCAAAATCCAGTGCTTTTCTCTCTCTACCCCACTATCTTTCAGTTGCCACAGATTTTTGCTGTGGGTCATTTTCCCTAGTGACTGACCTAAGAACTCAGTTTCCTTACCTGTAAAATGGAGGGGATTGAACTAGGTGAACTTTAAGGTTCAGTTCTAAACCTTGTGTTCCCTTTTGGAATTAACCAGGAAAAGCTGCAACTGCTTTAAATTTTTCAGGTCAGTGACGAGATGATGAAAAGAATCCCGATCTTAAAGAATCTTCATTTCCGAGAGAAGAAAGCAGGGAAAGACATCACTTTGCAGAAGGAACACTTGGCACATTTGAAGACCAGCCAGAGGCGAGCACCCCTCCAGAACCCTGGCCAGATAGCCTCTGTCAGACCTCCAGACACGGTGCATTCTTCTCATCGGGATGATGAGCGCATAACTTCAAAAACAGAATCCTCCGACGTCACCACTGTTTATGTGGGTAACATCCCTCAGGACGCTAGAGTGAGTGATATGAAGAGAACTCTTAGGGAATGTGATGCAGTGCCTTTGAGGCTGAATTGGCAAGGAGCACAGGGCAGGGCTTTCCTTGATTACAAGGACCGGGCTACTGCAGAGGGTGTCGTCTCTTCCTTAAGAGCCTTGAGCTTTAGTGGGAATACTTTGTGGGTCAACTTAGCGAAGAAGCAAAAGTGATAGCCGTCAGTGGTGAAGGGGAAAGCATGCCCCTTTCTTCTTGTTTTGTAAAGGTTCTTCAGACATTTAAATAGTTTTCCTCCTTTGATAGTCAGTGGCGTTGGAGGTCTGTGTGTCTGAACCCCAAGGCCAGAGTGCTCTGTGACTCACTTTCTGTTCTTGGAGAGATCACAGTTACCACTTGGTACTTCATACTGAAGTTTCTCAAGCAATAAACAGGAGAAGGTTAGGATGTCCTGGGGGTTATTAAACTTTAATTAATGCCTGCCATTTTTCTGATGACTGGAAAATAAAACATAAAAATCGCTGTCTGGTTGTCCATTCAAAGAGACTGAAAACCATTCACCTTCAATGTGAATATCAAAAAAGGGAGGCCAGGATGAGGAAGCAAATGGTGTGAAATGATAGACTTTGCCACAGCAGCCCTCAGGCAGTCCTAGAAAGACCAACAGCCAGTTGGGAAGAGGAACACACAGACTCAGCGGAGCAGAGTTGAGCTGGATCTTTGCTGGGACATTGGTGGTATTTGCACAGAAATGGGCCAGGTTTGCCCACTCTTTACCTGGGTGGATCATCTTGCTAGCCCCCAGACTTCCTCTGCGGGCCTGATGATGCCAGCTAGAGAGCTAAGCTTATGTGTGCAATTAGACAGGAACGGGTGAGTCTTTAAAGGGAGATAGGGCTTTAAATAATGGGTTTTGAAAAAATCATAATAACAACAGAACCCTTCGCATACACATGCTTGCTTAATACCTCACGATATTTTCTCTCCAGTTCCCTTTTCCTGAAAAACAAGCTGGATTTTGGCTGAACTGTACTTTCTAAACAGAAGCACTTTTGCAATTGATCCTGGGCAGAAAGTCAAAACAAGCATCTAGAGGGACATTTTATTATTATTTTTTAAATGTATATGAGTTGGAAAGGTTTTTTCGGCCAGAGGGTATTGCTAAGTGTATTTTAAGTAGATTATTATGCCTCCAGAGGGTCAGGCCTTTCATACAGCAGTGAATAAACATTCTCAAACCTATCAGGTTTTCCCTAAGGGGGGAAAAAACTTCTTAAGAAGTATTTTGTCTCCATTTTTATAATAAACATAAAGAAGATACTTTGGAAAGAAAATGGGTCCTCAAATTATCTTCCTTATCAAATATTGAGTTCTTTTCCTGATTTTCCTGGATAAAATGAAGGGAGATAAATCTACTGATTGAGGTTCTGGTGTCCTTTTAAAGAAGGTGGATGTAGTAGTTTACAGGACCATTGCCTTGTGATCACAAAGTGCATTCACATTTCCTGTTTCATTCTTACAACAAGCATCCCTTTGAAAGTAGGAAGGCAGAAGCCATTATGTCCCTTTTGAGACCCAGAAAGTTGAAGTGACTTGTCCGTGGCTCTTAAATCTCCAAGACTCCAAGCCCTGCACTCTCCCCATTGTACAAACTCCATTCAGAGAAGTTTAGTCACCTAAACAAGGTATTCAGGGCCTTCTCATTCCGAAAAGACAATCCTGGGTTCTCAGGATTCTTCTAACTGTAGCCTCAGGCAGCTGACGTCCATCCAGGTGGAAACCTACCGGTCTGGACTTGTCAACAGACTGTTTGCTGTCTAGGGGTCAGCCAAGCCAGCTATAGAGACACCAGTCTCTGCCAAGTCGACCACTATGAAAGGAGATATTTGCCCATAGCAACCCCTTTCCTGCCTATTAGATGTCTGCACTCCAGGAGCTCAGTGGTCCTCTCTTTTGTCTTATGCTGGGCCTGGATTCAGGAAGACGAGTTCAAATCAAACTTCAGGCACTCACTGGCTGTATGACCCTGGACAAGTTACTTAACCTCTGTCAGCCTCAATTTGCTTATCTGTAAAGTGGGAGTAATAATAGCACCTGCCTCCCAGGGGAGCACCAGATACAGTGATGTACACGCTGCATTTTACAAACCTTCAAACACTGTGTAAATGCTAGTTATTATTATCATCATTATTCATATCCATGTGGATGCCTAGTTTTAATTTTCTTTAATGTTATGCCTTAGACTTAAGTAAAAATCACATTTCCCCTCAACCTGATTGCTGTGTAACTAGCACAATAAAACAAAAATGAAGGGAATCGAAGCTTTGCCTTTCCTGGAAATAAATATAGTTTTTAGGCTTCCCTGTAGTAGCAGAGCAGACAGCACCCTTTGCTCACAAGCCCAAGCCTCTTGCGTACCTTCCTATCAGGTAGCCCCCTCCGTCTCCACAGCAGAAGAGCTGTCACATTGACCTCAAACATTAGAAACTTTTCAGCCAAGCAGAGTTACTCCCTAGCATGAGTCCCAGGGTAATTTGAGCAGATCCTTGTTTTAGGAAAATAGTGGTAACCACGGTTTTTGCATTATAACCAGCTGGCAGCCACATAGCAGTGACTCAGAAACTGATGTGGATTTTTTTTTCTCTTAGTTTACTGCCTTGCATAAGACAAAAAAGAGGCTTTAGTAAAAGTTAGGCTCTTATGCCCAGCGCCTAGGACCCTTACTAAGTGATTTGATTTTATAGAATCCTCGACAAAATGTTTTCATTTATGTTATCTCATTTAACCTTCACATCAATCCTGTATGGGGCAAGGCAATAACATCCCTATTTTAAATGTGAGGAATCTTGGGCCCAAAGTGATCGAAGTGACTGTCTCAAGGTCACACAACTACTTGGCAGCAGAGCTGAGACTCGAACCCAAATCTTTGTCCTCAGTCTTCTCTATTCTTCTCTGCCACATTCCCTCAGAATAGGTCCCACCAGAATGGTGTCATGTTAAAAGGAGAAAGGACTCAATGGGACTTGTTTTAAAGCTTTTCTCCCCCTACCTTCCTTTGGGAATCTTCTGTAAGAAATATGTCTGTATCTGCATTGTTGGCCTCAGCCCGCACGTGTTACCATCCTGTGACTTGTTCTATTTCTGCCAGAAAGAATCTGTTCGTGAGACAGCATGGTGTGACTGGCATGTAGTAGGTGCTTAATAAATGTGGACAGGAGCGGATTAAATAACATGGTGCCAAATGTTCTAGGCTGGGAATTGGTAGGCCCGGATTGGAATTCTGGTTCTGACACTTAGGGGGAAGTCAGTTCTTTCTCTGAGCCCTGATTTTCCCTTCTGTCAAACAGACATGGTACTAAGAGGCATAATTTGTAAACCTAATAATAATAGCTAGTATTTGTGTAGGCTTTAAAATAATATTTACACATATCTCATTTTATCCTTGCAACAACCCTGGGAGATAGGTGCCATTATTATAATCCCCATTTTGCAACTGAGGAAGCTGAGGTAAATAGAGGTCAAATGACTTGTCCAGGGTCACACAACTAGTAAGCGTCCAAGGTTGTATCTGAACACCGTTGCCTTATATCCTTCCACGCCTAGTACCTGATTAGGAGGACAGCCCATAAAAGAAGGTCAGCAGCAGCATGGATGGAAAGGCTAGTCCATCCAAGTTTCTTTGCAGACCAGGTGGCAGTGCCTGGGGGTTGGAGAGCATAGCTGCAGGGCAAATGGTAAAAGTTCCAATAGTCCTTAGGATGCTGGACAGTAAGGTCTGATGGCAGGATTGTATTCATCATTTAACACTTACCATAGCTTCATTATTTCTCCATTAAATACAAAACAGACTATTTACATGTTGTTTTTTGTCCTTGGCTTTCAAAGAGGACCAATGACATCATGAGGGTGATGTCTTGATTTGTGCTGTGAAATTAAAGTGAGGCAGAGCTGCACAAAGTCATCAGCCTCATTCTGTCCTCCAGAGTCACTGAAGTCCAGTGGGCAGGACGAAAATCACCAACTAGAGATGGCCTGGGATGCAGTGGATGACATTGGTGTCTTCAGTGTCTGATGAAGCTCTGAGCAGTCCACGATGCCTGCTTCAGCCGGCTTCATGGGCTTCGGAACAAATTGTTTACATCCACCCATTCTGCTGGGGGGAGATCTTCACATGTTTGAGGTAGACACCCCCCCACCTCACCGACGGGGTTCGAGGCCCATCAGTTACCCTCAACCTGGTTTAGCCTGTCTGCTGAGCCGGTTTACGGAGGGGTGACCTTTCTGCATGCTACAGCTTCTTGGAACCACAAATGAGAGTTGGATGAATCAGATGGACACCAAAGGTAGATGAGCAGCCCTGAAAAGGACCAGCAGCCTTCACACTAAAGGTGCTGGTCCTCCTTAACACCTCAAATGCCAGTATAAGCTCTTTCACTGGTGTACCTTTAACAAGGGAGAGAATTGGGCCGTGAAGACTTTGCTATGAACTCTGTAGTTCATCTTTCTTAAGAAACTTGATTACTTATTGCATATAATTTTTTATAAGATGCTGTCATTATGGTTGGTAGTCTTTAATGTAGTTCTGACCCTGGGTCGAGGGTTATGTTTATCCTTCTGTTTCTTTTCTTTTACCAACCTTCCTTTAACGGTACCCTCTTTTCTATACTGTCCTAACATCTTCCTCACAAAAACTCTGGCAGGAAGGGATCTCAAGGGTACAGGGAGTACCAAAATTCTTGGTGCTTAAGCTTTATCTAATTGCCTAAAAATGCACCAAAACTTTTGGAACACTCTGTTTTCCCCATTTTACAAATGAGGAAATAGGCTAAAAGATTAAGTGACTTGCCCATGTTCACCTAGTGCTCTTTTCAATGTATCAAGATTTCTTTCAAGATTTCTTCTCTGCCCCTACATTTGAACTGTCAAGGTAAGGATGCCATGCTAGATTTGCCCGGGAATTCTGGACATCAATGAGCTACCTTTGACAGCTGTATTAACTCATTTGGGCCAGAAGGGGGTGCTAGAGAACAAGCTAATATGGTGCCTGCAGCACCTCAACCTTTTTTTTAAATACTGGCAATGCTTGAAAATTTTCTGAGATGCACCTGGTAGGAGGTTGAGGGAGAGCAAAGATGAGGGGTTTCTCAACACCTTATGGATAAAATTGTTATTGTTGTGTATGAGTATATTGGAGGAGGGGAGGTCTGGAGGAAGAAATACCACTGATAGAAAGGATGGAGGAAGAGAAAACAAGGTTCTTGAAAAATTTTTTTAAACTTTTGCTATAGTGCTTTGAGGATGGGATGGTGGGGTGCAGATTGCTCAAAATTTCTCTTGCAATGCTTGGCTTTTTCCCACATCAGTGCTTTTGCTTATACTTTCTCTTCCCCGCCTTCCCTAAGGCTATCTATCAAAATATTGCTTAGCTAAAATCCTACATATTCCATGAAGCCTTCCCAGATCTCCCCAACTGGATGTAACTTCTTCCTCTGAACCCTATAGCCCTTTGCCCCTCTTTATATAGTTATTTGTATACTTACTCAGTCCTGTATCTTATCCTTTTCTGCAGTGCTTAGCAGTTCCCTTGTCTTTGAAAGTAAATCATAAAAGGCACTTCAGGTTATTTAAAGTGCTTGCTCTATCATAAAACCACATAAGATCTCCTTCCCTAAGCTTCCTCTTGAAAGGAAAGTTTGTAAGGAAGTGAATTCCCTACTCAGCCTGAAGCTCACTGCCTCATGGGGTAAATTGGAGGAGTCTCTGTGATGTGGTTTTGTGGGTTACTTTCCAGGCATAGTATCATCCACACACACGTAAATCCCTCAGGACTTTGCCTTTCTGGGTCAAGAGCAATGGTTTGAGACTGTCCCTGCCCAGGGGCACTGCATACCCTATTCATTAGTTTGAGAGGACAGTCCTGATGACCTAACATGGCATGTAAACTCTGGTATAGTTCATGAGGAACCCAGTTAGATGGCAAACCTTGGGAGAAACTACTTGTATTAGGGATATGTGCAGCCTGGCATAATGCCTACCAACTTTGTAGAACCACCTGTGTGTTCCTATGCACATGATAACATTAGGCCTTGCAGAACCTGAATTAAGTGAAATTTGGGTCTATGCTGAAAGTCTTCCCTACGTTAGATGCTAATGGAGCATTTATGTTTGCCAAACTTCATTCTAGTCGTGAAGGAGATTTGGCAAAGAAGGAATTAAGATGATCATTAATCACAGAGCAAGCTAGACATTAAATTGTAAGGTATGCCCCTCTACTTGCCAGAATTGTCCTCCTAGATACTCATGGACTCAAGAGTATGTTAGGGCTGACAATGACTTTGGGTGTCATTTTGTCCAAGTTGCTCATTTTTGCAGAAGAGGTAACTGAAGGTTACTGAAGACCATGGAGAAGTGACTTTAAGAATATAAGGTACCATGCCATATGAGGACCAGGTGGCAAGACAAAAGATGGTTAGCCTCAAGAAGAGAAGACTTTGGAAGAAGTAGAGGCACACATAGTTAAGTAATTGAAGCACCAATAAATGGAATAAGGCTTAGATTTGCATGACTGCCCTAATGGGCAGAGCTTGGAGCTGTATGAGGAAGTTATCAGGAGGTTGATTTAGGCTTGGTGGAAGGAAAAACTGACTCAATTGGAGCTTTTCAGAAGTGGAACTGCACTACTTTGGGAGGTCTTCAAACAAACATTGAGTGACCACTTGCCAAGAATGTTGCAAAGATCCTTCTTTGGGCATTGGTTGGTCTAAATGACTTAGGAACTGCATCTGGCATTCTGTGACTCTTTGATTTGCCTGAGGTCACATTGTGCCAGTTGCCTTATCTTACTCTGGATTTCAGATCCTCAAGTGATTGACAAAAGTGTATCAGTGACGAAGTAGCCACTAGTATCCATGTGCTGACCGAGATTATAAAAATACACAAATGCAAAAACCTGCCTATTCATTTTTCCAATTAAATTGTTTTTCAGAGATTGTAGAACCCCAGAGCAAGTAAGAAGGGATCTGAGAGGTCATAGATGAGCCCATCCCCCTGCCAGACTCATGAATCGCCTCCCTAACACCCTAATGGCAATCTTTTTTTTTTAATACTAGTTTCCTTTATTCTTATAGTTAATTTTTAATGGTATTTTATTTTTCCCAATTACATGTCAAGATAATTTTTAGCTTTCATTTTTACAAGATTTTGAGTTCCAAATTTTTCTCCCTCCCTCCCTTCTTCCTAAAATGGTAGGCAATTTGATATAGATTATACATGTGCTGTCATGTAAAACATATTTCCGTATTAGTCACAGTTGTGAAAAAATAAATGGGTCAAAAGGGAAAAAAATACCCAAAAAAGTGAAAAAAATATACTTCAATCTTATGTGGAGTCCATCAATTCTGTATCTGGATGTGGATAGCATTTTCCTTCTTGAGTCCATTGTACTTGTCTTGGATCATTGTGTTGCTGAGAAGATGGAGTTGTTCATAGTTAATCCACAATGTTGCTGTTGCTGTGTACAGTATTTTCTTGGTTCTGCTCATTTCACTTTGCATCAGTTCGTACAAGTCTTTCCAGGTTTTTCTGAAATCTGCCTGCTCATCATTTCTTATGGAATAATAGTATTCTATTACATTCATATACAGCTTGTTTAGGCATTCCCCAATTGATGGGCATCCCCTCAGCTTCCAATATTTTGCCACCATGAAAAGGACTACTATCAATATTTTGGCCCATGTAGGTCCTTTCCCCTTTTTTATGATCTCTTTGGGATACAGATCTAGTAGTGGTATTGCTGGATCAAAGGGTGCGCATAGTTTGGTTGCCCTTTGGGTATAGAGTTCCAAATTGCTTCCAGAATGGTTGGATCAGTTCACAACTCCACCAACAGTGCATTAGTGTCCCAATTTTCCTATATCCTCTCCAACATTAATCATTTTCCTTTTTTGTCATATTAACCAATCTGATAGGTGGTAGGTGGTATCATAGAGTTGCTTTAATTTGTATTTCTCTACTCAGAAGTGATTTGGAGTACTTCTTCATATTCCTATAGATAGCTTTGATTTCTTTATTTGAAAACTGCCTGTTCATATCCTTTGACCATTAATTGGGGAATGACTTGCATTCTTATAAATTTGTTTCAGTTCTCTATATATTTGAGAAATGAGGCCTTTATCAGAGATACTTGCTCTAAAGATCGTTTCCCAGTTTCCTGCTTTTCTTTTAATCTTGGTTGCATTGGTTTTGTTTGTGCAAAAGCTTTTTAATTTAATATAATCAAAATTATCTATTTCACATTTCATAATGCTTCCTATCTCGTTTGGTCAGGAATTCTTCCCTTCTTCATAGATCTGACAGGTAGACTATCCCTTGCTCTTCTAATTTGCTTATGGTGTCGGCCTTTATGTCTAAATCATGTACCCATTTTGACCTTATTTTGGTATTATGATGTGAGATGTTGGTCTATACCTAGTTTCTGTTATACTATTTTCCAGTTTTCCCAGCAGTTTTTGTCAAATAGTGAATTCTCATCCCAAAGACTGGGGTCTTTGGGTTTATCAAACACTAGGTTACTATAGTCATTTTACTACAGTGTTGTATACTTAATCTGTTCCACTGATCCACCACTCTTTTCTTAGCCAGTAATAGATAGTTTGATGATTACTGCTTTATAATATAGTTTGAGATCTGGTGTTGCTGGGCCACCTTCCTTTGTATTTTTTTTCATTATATCCTTTAACACTCTTGACCTTTTGTTCTTCCAGATGAATTTTGTTGTTATATTTTCTAGTTCTATAAAATATTTTTTGGTAGTTTGATTGGTATAGCACTGAATAAACAAATTAAGTTAGGTAGAATTGTCATTTCTATCATAGTTGCTCAGCCTACTCCTGGACAATTGGTATTTTTCCAGTTGTTTCAGTCTGGCTTTATTTGTATGAAAAGTGTTTTGTAATTGTGTTTTTATACTTCCTGGGTTTGTCTTGGCAGGTAGGCTCCCAAGTATTTATATTGTTTATAGTTATTTTCAATAGAATTTCTCTTTCTATCTGTTGCTGCTGGGTTTTGTTGGTCATATTAAAAATACTGATGAAATATGTGGGTTTATTATATGTCTTGCAACTTTGCTTAAGTTGGTAATTATTTCAAGTTGTTTTTACTTGATTCTCTAGGGATCTCTAAGTATACCATCATATTTTCTGCAAACAGTGATAGTTTTGTTTCCTCATTGCCTATTCTAATTCTTTCAATTTAATTTTCTTATCTTATTGCTGTAGCTAACAGTTCTAATACTGTATTGAAAAATAATGATAAAAATGGGCATCCTTGCTTCACCCCTGATCTTATTGGGGAGGCTTCTAGCTTATCCTCATTACAGATAATGCTTACTGATAATTTTAGATAGATGCTACGTATCATTTTAAGGAATACACCCTTTACTCTTATGCTCTCTAATGTGTGTGTTTTTTAATAGGAATGGGTGCTGTATTTTGTGAAAAGTTTTTTCAGCATCTGTTGTGATAATCATATGATTTCTGTTGGTTTTGTTATTGATATGGCTAATTATGTTGATAGTTTTCCTAATATTGAACCAACCCTTTGTTCCTGGTATCAATCCCACCTGGTCATAGTGTATGAACCTTGTGACATATTTCTGTAATTGCCTTGATAGTATTTTGTTCAAATTTTTTGCATTGATATTCATTAAGGAAATTGGTCTATAATTTTCCTTTTCTGTTTTATCTTTTCCTAGTTTAGATAACAGCGCAATATTTGTATCATAAAAGGAATTTGGTATGATTCCTTCTTCATCTGTTTTTCCAAATAGTTTGCGTAGTATTGGAATTAATTTTTCTTTAAATGTTTGATAGAATTCACTTGTGAACCCATCTGGCCCTCGGGATTTTTTCTCATTAATGGCTTGTTCAATTTCTTTTTCTAAGATGGGGTTATTTAGGCATTCTATTTCCTGATCTGTTAACTTAGGTAATTTATATTTTCACAAATAGTCATTGATTTTGCTCAGATTGTGAGATTTATTGGCATATAATTGGGCAAAATTTTCCCAATGATTGCTTTAATTTCTTCTCCATTGGTGGTTATTTTGCCCTTTTCATTACTGGATATTTGGTTTTCTTCTTTCTTTTTTTAAATCAAATTGGTCAATTAGTTATCTACTTTATTGTTTGGTTTTTTTTCATAAAACCAGCTCAACAGTTGCTTTTCTTTTTTAACTTTGAATTTTATTAATCTCACCTCTGATTTTCAGGGTTTCCAACTTGGAGCTCAATTGGGGATGTTTAATTGGTTCTTTTTCTAGTTGTTGTTGTTTTTGTAAGTTGCACGTCCGATTTATTGATTTGCTCTTTCTCTGTTTTGTTGATGTAAGAATTGATATAAATAAATTTTTCCCCTAAGTACTGCTTTGGCTGCATTCCATAAATTTTAGAATGTTGTCTCATTATTTTCATTCTCTTTAATGAAATTATTGATTATTTCTGTGATTTGTTCTCTGACCCACTTATTCTTTAAGGATTAGATTATTTTGTTTCCAATTAATTTTTAATCTTTCCTTGCCCTTTTATGAATATAATTTTATTGCATTATGATCCAAAAGAGAATACATTTAATATTTCTGCCTTTCTATATTTGATTTGAGGGTTTTATGCCCTAATACATTGTTGATTTTTGTGTAGGTGCCATGTGCTGCTGTGAAATGAGTATATTCCTTTCTGTTTCTGTTCAGTTTTCTCCAAAGGTCTGTCATATCTAACTTTACTAATATTCTGTTCATCTCTTTAGTTTCTTACTTGTTTATTTTTAGTTGTGTTTGTCAAGTTCTGAGAGGGGACAGTTGAGGTCCCCCACTAATATAGTTGTTCTGTCTATTTCTTCTGTAATTCACTTAACATCTCCTTTAAGAATTTGGATGCTATATCATTTAATGTATATATGTTTAGTATTGATATTACTTCATTGTCCATAATACCTTTTAGCAAGATGTAATTTACTCCCTTGCGTCTTTTAATTAGGTATATTTTTGCTTTTCCTTTGTCTGAGATCAGGATTGTTACCCCCTTTTTTTTTTAACTTCAGCTAAAACATAATAGATTCTGCTTCAGCCCCTTACCTTTGCTCTGTGTGTGTCTCTTTGATTCAAGTGTGTTTCTTATAAACAACATATTATATGATTCTGGTTTTTTATAAACTCTGTTATCCACTTCCATTTTATGGGAGAGTTTATCCCATTTGCATTCACAATAATGATTACTCTGTATGTACTTCCCTCCATTCTATTTTTCCTACTGTTTGTCCTCCTTATACCCTTTCCCTCCTCAACAGAATTTTGCTTCCATCTACCACCTCCCCTGGTCTGTCTTCTCTTCTATCAGTTTCCCCCTCCCTTCTCTGCCAACTTTACTTAATGTCATCCCCTCTTACTTTCCTGTCAGGTGAGATAAATTTCTATATTCAACTGATTCTGTATATTCCTTCTTTGAGCCAATACTAATGACAATAAGTTTCAAGCAGTGCCCATTGCCCACCTTCCCATCTTTCTCTCCATTGTAACGGGTTTTTCACACCTTTTCATGTGAACTGATTTACTCCATTCTACCTCTCCCTTCCTCCTATACCCAGTGTATTCCTCTTTCTCATCTCTTAATTTTTTTTCATTCCCTCAAACCTATTAGTGGTATCATATTTTTAAGAATTACAAGCATCTTCTTCCCTTGTAGGGATATAAACAGTTCAGCTCCATTGAATCCCTTATGTTTCCTTTTCCCTTTTTCTGTTTTTAGGCTTCTCTTGGGTCTTGATATTGGAGATCACATTTTTTGTTCAGTTCTGGTCTTCTCCTTGTGAAAGCTTGAAATCTTTGTATTTCATTGAATGATCATTTTTTCCTTTGAAGCATTTTGCTTCGTTTCTCTGGGTAGGTGGTTCTTGGTTGTAGTCCTAGCTTCTTTGCCCTCAGGAATAGGATGTTCCGTAACCCCTGATCCTTTAATGCTAAGTCCTGTGTAATTCTAATTGTGGCTCCCCAATATCTGAATTATTTCTTTCTGGCTACTTACAGTATTTTTTTTTCCCTTGACCTGACAGTTCTGTAATTTGGCTATAATGTTCCTTGGAGTTTTTATTTTGTGATCTCTTTCCTGAGGTGATCAGTA